AGGCGATTATGGGGTTTGTAGGGTCCCTCTTTCATATGGCCCGAACGACATCATGTTTTGTCCTTATAATAGCTGAGTGAAATCGCCTCGTAGATGATAGAAAAAAGCTGTTTCCATGAGCTACAGGAAAAGTTCACCCTACTATTATAAGGACAGAACATAGTGTTGTTCGGGCCATATGAAAGAGAGACCCTACAAACCCCATAATCGCCCCGAACAACACTATGTTTTGTCCTTATAATAGTGGAGAAAACCTTTCTGATTCATTTATATACCTAAACTTAAATTCTCAATATCTCCCTCTAGGCAAGCCAAGGGCCGCTAATATTTTAACCTTGTTAGTTTTTCGCTGAGAGCTTTCATTTGACCCGAATATGTCCTATCTTTTTGATTATCAACACAAACACCTCCATTGTTAGAAGTTAATGTTCAATGAGAGAACATTTTCAGATGCTCCTTCAGATTTCAATGAGTTTTCGTCTATAGATATTACATAGTGTCCTGGTAAAAACCCTAAAAGAATATGGATTCCTGTCGCTACCTTCAAAAGTAATACTTATTTTTATTTTACTTCGATAAGGTATAACATATACTGTTCAAGAGATGGTTTGCCAGACCACCAATTAATTCAGATCTCATAAAATATTTGTTTCTAGTTATCCAGCGCAAATGAAAATCATTCGAGAAACTTATAAGTTCAAAATATCTAGCTATTTCGAAGCGCTTGTGAAAAAACCAAGGAGTACAATCTTCTTTTTCTTTGTCATTAGATTATGAAAACAGTAAAAAGTTCTTTTTACACGCCGACCGTTACTTTGAGAACTTTTCTGTCTAATATCGCCTAAATAATCCAGAAAAAAAAGTTTCAAAAGCGCAGTGTCAAGGGTTTACAGAAATTTGATTCAGTTTTTTACGATCCCATTACTCGTCTAGGTCACGAACAAACAAGCACAAGAATGACTATGAAACATGCACTGCTTTTTTTTGCGAAAGTAGAATCGACTACTAACAATCATTGTTATGGAGACTGGTATATCACATTTTATAGAAAATTCTTTTCTACGCCTTTAAAGACCTTTTCTGGACTGATGGAACGGTCGGAGAGAAAAAGATTCTCGAAGTGGCCATCAATATTTAAAAACAAGTTTTCACTCCATTTTTATGATCTAAACAAGAGAAAATGAAGATGCTCCTTAATATTTTTTACAAATATTTCAAAATAATTAGATATTTCAAATTTATAAATTTGTTAATATGATCTTTCATACATAGAGACAAATATGACCTAATTGGTGGTCTGACGAATCATCTCTTCAACGTTATAGGTTATGTTTTATCGAAGTAAAATAAAAATAGATATAGCTTTTGAATAAGACCACAGCGATCCAAATCTTTTTTAGGACTTGACCTAGAACTTTATATGGTATCTATAGGCAAAAAAAATCATTGAAATCCGAAGAAGGCATTTGAAAAAATTCTTGCCTAAGTTACGGAAAAATTTCGGAGTTTTTCGGAGTCGGAGTCCGGAAAATTTTTTGACCAGAGTCGGAGTCGGAATCGGAATTGGGAATAAAAAATTTTTGGAATTGGGTTGGTTTTCGGAATTGAAGAATAGGAGTCGGGTCGGGTTTCGGAATCAAAAAACACGACTCCGCAGTTCACTACCCACATTCCACACCCACGTTTTAACATGTTGACGATTTCGGAGTAATGCCGTTTTAATGACAAATTATCGTTAAAACGGCGTTATTACGGAACCCTAAGGCGTTAAAACGTGTTTTTGTGTACTCAAAAAGTGAGTACATTCTAGAATCGGTCAGTATGTCCGTCCGGCCGTTTACACGATAACTTTTGAAAGGAGAGTCCGATTGCGATGAAATTTTCTACACAGCTTAGTCTCAACAATATCTCGGTCGAGTTCGAAGGTGAGAAGGATTGGCCGAGCCGTTGCTGAGTTATTGGAAAAATAGTCATTTTTCACTATGCATTCCTATGCGAGAATCGACCTATCCCCGCTTTCGTAAAAAACTTTTCCTATTATAGTCAAATAAAACCCCAACTATTATACACCATTCGACAGAGAATTTCACGAGCTACAAAATGGTATATAAAACATAAAGAAATAAAAAGACTAACTCACCTATTGCAAGGGTAATTAAACGGGAATTGGTTCTGTTTGTGTTCACACTCTAATTGATCGACAATTAGAGCTCTGTCTTTCGATCATAGAGATGACAATTCGAGGTTTTTTGGGTCGGAGAACTCCAATCTGAGCTCCGTTTGCCTCGAACTCCTATTGGTTGAGCAGTAACCAATAGAAATCAAGTTATCGGAAAAACGACTTTCCTATGGTAAATCAAGGCGAAGAGTTCAAATCTGAGCTCTAATCATCTCTAAATCCTAGTGGTTGAGCAGTAGCCAATAGAAATCAAGCGTATTATAGAAAAGGTTTGCCAGGATAACTTTGATGTCCAGACATTCTAGGATGACTCATCTGTCCCATTCACTTTTTGAAGTACACATAATTCTCGGATTTAAATTCGAGCTTTCCGCATTTATTTTTATTGATTTTGACTGCTTGTGTAATGGAAAAGGTATAAATTTCTATCCTTTTGAATTAATCGACATCAATCTCAAAAGAAACTGAAATATAGTCTTAAGAATAGGAAGTAGGGATTAGCCTTGATATTTATGTACATATGTAGAAAATTGAATAATATTAATTTAAAATGTACTATGAACAGTTTCTTTTGTATGAAAAAAGGTAGAAATTAGTTAGAAGGAAATATTGTTGTATATACAAAACTATTTGTCGTTTATGTGTTTATGAAGATACATTTGATCGTCGAGACGTAAGAACCGTAGTGATGTTCGACGGACGAATATTTGCATCGTGTAATAGCTTAGCAAATGCTGAATTCGGATTTGTCGCTAAACGTATCGGGTCATCATATTCTTGCACACAACCATCGGACAAAACGAGAATTCTTGATAAATGAGAGAAATCAATGATTCTCAAAAAAACAGAAATAAAGCAAAGTATACTTAGTACTATCTAAAATTGTATGCAATCGATGAGCAATCGTTAGTACAGTTGCATCTTTAAATGCTGATCGAATAGTGAGTTGGATAAGACGATCGGTTTCCATGTCAATAGCTAATATAAAAAGGCAACAAATCAATAGTAACAAAGAAAAATTAAGAATACACTTACCAGCAGTCGCTTCATCGAGTATAAATATTTTACTTTTTCTTAAAAGAGCTCGTGCTAAACACAATAATTGTCTCTCACCAGCACTAGAATAAAAATGATAATGTCGATGACTCAAATCTTTTGACACTACCTCATATTTTGACCACCTTCTGCCAAAAGATATGACAAACCATTTTCCATTAAGATCACACGTCCTTTCATATGTACTAATTCTAACACAGTCCAAATTTCTGCATCACTGTAATTACCCAATGGATCGATATTAAATCTTACAGTGCCAGCAAAAATAACCACATCCTACAGAGATGTTTTAATTGTGTAAATATAAAAAAAAAGGATTTACTTGTGGAATAATAGTAATCTTTGATCGCAAATCATGTAAACCAATAGAACGAATATCAACATTATCAATGATAATTGTACCAGTAGTCGGTTCGATAATACGAAAGAGTGCTAAACACAAACTGGTCTTTCCACTACCCGTTCGTCCGACAATTCCAATCTAAATTTAATTTCAATACATTCGATTCTAAGTGTTCACATTACCTTTTCTCCATCTTCAACATTAACAGTTACATCCTTAAGTACTAACTGCAAATTTTCTCTATATTTCATTGATAATTCATTAATTCTAGAAAATATGAATGTCAAAAGTTTAAAAGACATATTCTATAATTAACATACTGAATACTTCCATTCGTCGGCCAATTTGATGATGGTTTTTTTGCTGGAATTTCCCATGGAGCTTCAGAATTGAGTTCAGCATATTCATTGATACGTTCTACACTAACAATATTTGTTTCAATTTCACTTGATGTACGTACAAGTAAATTAAGTGAATTTGTAATTTGCAAAGCATAAGTAATCATTAAACCAACAGTACCAGCTGTCAAATGATTACGTATAAATACAGAAGTAATTGATGTGAATAATATAATTAGATTAGCAATCATTTCTAAACGAACACCAAGCCATCTAATAATCAATAGGAAAGAAAAATAATATCGATAATTAATTAATGATAAAGAATTCAAACCTATTAGCAACTGAACTAGCGAAATTACATGACTGATTTCTGTCCATAAATTTATCAGACATATCAATAAAACGTTGTTGTACATGATAAGCTCGAATTGAACTAAGACCTTAAATTGTTTCACCAAAATTTGCATAAATCGAACTACGTGTAACAGAATCAAGACGACGAAGTTGTCGAGAAGATGATATATAAATACGCTTATCGATTCAAACAAAGAATATATGTTCTACAGAGAGTCTTAAATGAAAATAATTTTACCTGAACATAAGCAAAAAGAATAGTAAGTGGTATAAGCTCAAATATAGCAATCCATGATCCATAGATAAGTATTATTAATGTTGCAACAACAGTAATTAGTGTAGTAAGTGCTTGAGAAAAAGCATTAGGTAATGTTGTATCTACAGAATCAATATCTTTAGCAAAACGATTGATAATACGACCGACAGGTGTTGTATCGAAAAATGACATAGGCGAATGAAGTACTCCAATTAAAATAATTCAATGGAGTTTTCGACCAGCAATATATGCAGCAAGTTTTAAAACAAAATGCATAACAAATGCAAGAAAACCTAAAAATATGAGTATAGAAGATTATCGAGATATATATGTTATTACCTAGAGTGATTCCCAATGCTGAATAAATGTTCATATCACGAATTCGACTATTCGATAATGATGATGTATCGTTCTTTGTCGATTTATCAGTCCATTTAGAAAGCCAAATATTTCCACATAGAGTAGCAAATGTTGTTAAACAGAAAAAAATAGTTAACAATGTAATCATTGATAATTTACATGCACGAATATAAATAGAAAAAATACGAAGTTTTACCTATTTTAATTCAGTCTAATAATAATAATAAAATAGAAGAAAAAATCAAAACTTACAGAACCAGTTTGTACAGTTTCTTTTTGAATAAGTTTTTTCTTTTCTTCTTCTTCAATTTCGACTGTAATTGATTGTGATTCAATTTTTTGTTGAACATCATTTTTAGTAATTTCAAGTGGATTAGAAACTAATTCTTTTGAAGGCGTTGAAATACTTTGTCGACGTTCTAAGAATAAAAACAGAAATGAATGCATCAATTTTCATTTATTTCTTATGCATACCAATATCATTTATTTCATATTGATATTGCTCTTTCTCAGAAAGAGCGATCGAATGAACAAATTCACGTAAAATCTTGCTTCGTTGTATTAAATCACTATATAAACCATGATCAACAATTTCACCTTGAGAAATAACAATAATATCATCACATTTATGTAAATGAGATACACCATGTGTAACTAAAATTCTTGTCTATTCAAACAAAAAAAGAAAATATTTACCCTTCGAAAAAAATCTTTCAAATATTTTTGTTTTACTTTGCCATTTAATAATCCTTTTGAACCAATAACATGTTTGAAGATATGAGCACCCACATGAGCATCAACAGCTGATAATGGATCATCAAGTAGATAGATATCAGCATTACTATATAATGCTCGAGCTAATGAAACTCGTTGTCGTTGTCCACCGGATAAATTAATACCCTATAAGTTCGAAATTAAGGAAGTTCCTCGTTCGGAAATAATTTTCTTTCATTCGATTTCAATCAAAAATTTCAAAGAATGTCAGTCTTAGATAGAGAAAATTATGAGTAAAATATCTTCCTCAAATCTCAAAGATACTCACTATTTGTCTACTGTGACATAAAAATGTATTACTACTTTATATTGAATCGTTATTAACAAAAGTTTGTCCGCTTGAACAGCATACTCGATAAAGCTGAGTTTGAAAAAAATTTAAGAAATTAATTTTTCTCTTTAGATTTTTGTGAAACATACGTTGATTATGTATCAGTGTTCATGAGAGGCTATAAATATGTGATCTTAACTGTTAATAGGTTCTTGATGATTAATATTAAAAAACGCCTTAATCGATGCTAGAACAAAAGCAGTCTTTGAAAAACTCGAAAAAATTTCTGAACAAACATGATAATATACCCCAAGTTCCTTTCAATAGGTCCATCAGAATCTGTTAGTTTTGCAAAAAGTGATATATATTTTAGAAGATAAGGTCCTAGTACATTATCCTGGAATGAAAAATTGACTTTCTGACGGTGAGTCTCTTTAATAATTTAAATTGTTTTAGTATATTATACCTTTTCACCAATTTCTGTTTGATCTTTTGCTGGAAGCATAACTATGAAAATAATTTTAATATATTTTTTTAAAACTTTTCTTGAATTTTTTTTTTTACCAAGATCTTGTTCTAAAGCACATGCTTCAATGACTTGATCATATAATTTCTTATCAAAATCTCTTCCGAAAAGAATATTTTCTTTTAATGTTGTATTCATAATCCATGCTGTCTGTGGAACATAAGCAATTTTTCCACTTATACTAACACGTCCATTAACTTTAATCATTTCTCCAAGAAGTGCTGCTAATATACTACTTTTACCAGATCCTACCATGCCAACAAGTGCAACAAGTGAACCTTGATGAATTTGTAGATTTATACTACAAATAAACTCGATCATCATATATTAAAAAAATTATTTATCTACGACGAACTTTTTTAAAACTAAAGGACCATCAACAAGATTTGACCAACGAAAAGATCCATTTTCAATATTAACAGAATTTCCGTGTGATAATTCATTTGATACTCTATCAACAGCATATTTATCAATTTCATCATTGTTTAAAAATTTTCCAATGCGATTGCTTGATACACGTGCCTACACAGAGTAAATTCAATTACAACAGAAATCTTTCAACTCACGTCGACAATACTGTTAATCATATTTGGAAATGAAACAAGTGGACCGCGAAGTAGATTGAATAGTGCTAATGATACAAATGCTTTGTCGGCAGTTAAAATATTCGAATCTGATAAAAGAACATATGTGGCAAATGTGGTTATGCCAACCTTAACAAATGCATATATATGACCATATGAGAATCAAGAGTCTCCTTTGTTGTGCTTACTAAAATTGGTGCAAATGTCCAAAGAATATTTGAAATAGCACCAATAATAGCTTTTTGACGTATATATCCGAGTTCTTTTTCTCGAATACGAGTAATTGAACGAATAAATGCCATTTCCCATGCATATAATTTCAAAACTCTAATTCCATTGAGGATTTCATTCATCATTTTAATTCGTTCATCTTTAACTGTCATTTGTTTCGACTACTCCGATAATAATTAAGAAAATTAAATCTATTCCAGTCATACATACATACATACATACATACATACCGTAAGTTTTTTCTGAATTCTTTGTA